TACAATTGCAAACCAGATGACAAAAACCTATACTAAAAATCAAAATATTATTATATTGAATTTGGCCAATTGACCTACATATTAAAAACTAATAAAAATATTAAAAGTATTGAGGGAAAATCTCCCCATAAACAAAATTCTCTAAGTGACTACATTGTGGATGTTCTTGTTTTTTTATATGAGAAGAAGGGTCTTCAATTTATAGAGTTCCAAGTTTCTCCTCTAAGGAAGGAATAAACCAAATATGGAAGAAAAATATATTTTCCTTTCATGAAAAGTAAATATATTTATGGTAATGGTTTGTCTTTCCTTTTAGGAAAAATTAACTTCAAATAAGGTAAGAAAATCAGGACAAAACCCTCACAAATCTCCCATTTTGGCTTGAATTTTCTTGATCATCTTTCTTCATACAATCTTCATGTATCATTGCTGCTTACCATGGTTAAAAGTTCATATGGGTTAAAAATTAGAGCCCTACATTAAAAGTTATGAGCAGGGTTGAAAGTGGAGCTCATGCATTAAAAATAATATACATGAGTTGAAAGTGGAGTCCACGCGTTAAAAGTAAGATGCATGAGTTAAAAGTGGAGCTCGTGTGTTAAAAGTAAGATGCATGAGTTAAAAGTGGAGCTCGTGTGTTAAAAGTAAGATGCATGAGTTAAAAGTGGATCCCGAGCATTAAAAGTTTGCTTGGGTTGAAAGTTGATTTTATTTTTAAGGATAGAGCAGCAGGATGGTTGAAAGTATATTTGAAAATTTTCTCCACATGTTGTAGCACAAAAATCTTCATTATCATCAAATTTATTGCAAATTGATTTGAAATCACTTGATCCTTTCTTCAAATCTTGTTGAACCATTGGATCATTGAACCATGTGCTCTGATACCACTTGTTGGGTTATGAAGGTGATTAGGGCGTCATGCGGAAGATTACAATTGTAAATCAGATGGTTGATAAATCAGATGACAAAAACTTATACTAAAAATCAGAATATTATTATATGGAATTTGGTCAATTGGACTACATATTAAAAAGGCAGAACGCATAAGGGGCCCCTTGAACTTGTAAGGATTTTCTGTATAGACACTTTAACAAGGATGTATTCCTATTGAACCACTTAAAAAGTTTGCCTATCAGACACACCTGGCTGACTTGGCACTTATCATTTGAGGCATTTGTTTTAAGGTGGAACGCGTGACATTACACGTCTTCTACATGGAAAATCTAATACTACGTGGTAATACACATCAAAAACACACAACCCCACACCCAACCCCTCAGTCATTTCTCAAAATCCCCAAAACGTGTTCCAAAAAACCCTAGATATTTCTTTCACGATTCCCGCTCAATATGTGTTCGATTCAAGAAAGTTGATCAATAACTTCATTTTTTCTTCCTACGGCGTGGTCGATTCAAGAAAATAACTCTTGTTGCAATGTTTTAGGGTTGATTCGAGAAAGCTAGGATATTTTGTGCTCAATCTTGTGAAGTAAGTTCATTTTTGAAACTCTATGACTATTGCTGTCAATTTTCCCTTTAAATATAGCGTTTATTTTGTATATTACTAAAATGATGATGTTTTGTACATATGTGATTAAAGTTTGATTTTTTTAGGGTTTCCTTGTCAATAATTTATCGGATTTATTTGAATTTTTTTCAGGGAATCTTATGGATATTATTATAGTAACTCGCTTTCACCATGGTGGTAAATTTGTGGAAGGCACATCTGGTGGAGGTCTCACTTACATAGAGGAAAGTGAAGTGGAATTTGTAGGTATCGATAAAGACCACTTTTCTTTAATGGAATTATTTTTTTATACTAGAGATCTAGGGTATGTTATTGTGGGAGGTTTTTATTTTAAAGACCCTACAACCAATAACTTTATCTTAGTGGATAATGATTTCAGCTTACTAAACCTTATAAAAGACCTAGGTGATGGCGACTTTTTGGACTTGTATGTTCAATATGTTGTGGATGAGGTAGAGGTTGTTAAAGATGGGGTCCCAACAGGTTATCTTTGTGGGCCAACAGTTGGTGAAAGTGTTAATGAGGATGGGGTAGAAAACTCACATAATATTAATGTGGATGAAGGGTTACAACAAGGAGCTGCCCAATCTGAGAATATTAATGTTGAAGTTGGTGTGGAAGAAGGGTTACAACAAGGAGCTACCCAATATGAGAATATTAATGTTGAAGTTGTTGTAGATGATGCATCAGATCTAGAAGGTGTTGAAACAAATTGGGATATTAGTGATGATTCACAAGAGTTTTCTATTCCAGATGATGATGACTCAGAGATTAATGAAGAGTTAAGAACTCTTAGAAATGAAAGGAGAACCAAATTGCAGAGGAAAAAACATGTTCCTAAAGAGGAAATAACTCTTGGAGTAGTTGGTGTTGATAGAGGATTTGAAGACATTGGAAAGAACAAGGCTGCTGGGTATGCAGGAAGATTGAGGGGAGATGAACTATATATTGATAGTTCAGAATGGGATAGTGATGATAGTTGGGGTGAATTAGATCATGAAGCTGTGGAAGGTGTTGATTTACCAGCTAGAAGAAAAAGTAAAAAGGTAGACTTGATCCTAATTCTGTAGTTGTTATATTTGAGCTTGGTATGTTATTTGAAAATGCCATAAAATTTAGTAAGGATGTGGCAGAGTATGTTGTGGAATATAGAGTCAAATTAAAATTGAGGCCTAATGAAAAACATAGAGTCAGAGTTAAATGTCAGCATAAGAAATGCAAATGGTTGTTATATGCTAGTCTAGACAAAGACTCTGGTGATTTTATTGTTAAGAATTACTATCATGTTCATCAGTGGACTACCATAACCAAGAACAAGTTGTGTACATTTAACTTTATTGCAAATAAGTTTAGGGACAGAATAATTTCTCAACCTTATATAAGTTGTGGGTCAAGAGTTGGTGAGGAAGAAGACAGGATTGTATGTTGGAAGAACTCTTTGTTATAGGGCAAAATTGATGATTCTCAAGGAGTTTATGGGTGATTGAAAGATGGAGTTTGCAAGGTTGTGTAATTATGCAAACATGATAAAACAGACTAATCCTCGTAGTTTATGTTGGGTGAGGACAGACAGGGAATCTACTCCAGGTTAGAATATGTTTGTTTACTGTTATGTTTGTTTTGATGCATTAAAGAGAGGTTGGTTGGAAGGATGTAGAAAAATCATTGGTTTTGATGGATGCTTTCTAAAGGGTGCTTGCAAGGATGAATTATTAGTTGCAATTGGTAGGAATGGAAATCAACAAATGTTTCCAATTGCTTGGGTAGTTGTTGATCAAGAAACAAAGCACAGTTGGAGTTTCTTCATCAACTTCTTGATACATGATCTAAACTTAGGCACTGACATGGATTGACTGCGATGTCTGATATGTAAAAAGTTAGTTTAATGATAATTATTTAATTTTAATCTCATTGCCAACTTATTTAATTATTACTAGTCATAAATTTCAATTATTATGATATGTAGGGTCTTATAGCAACCATAATGGAGTTGCTGCCAGATTGTGAGCAAAGGATGTGTGCTAGACACATCTGGTCCAATTGACAGAAAACCTGGAGACGAGAAGAAAGAAGAAAACAATTCTGGAGATGTGCAAAATCAAGCTTTGATGTAAAATTTCAAGATGAAATGGATAAACTTAGGGCCTGTTTGGAAGGACACTTTGGTAATTGGATTTGGTGTAATTGGCTGCAATTACATTGTCTGTCCTGTTTGGTTGGACAGGTAATTACTTGGTCAGCACGTAATTGGTGTAATTGACTGGGGGTAATTACACTCTCCAATTCACAACGATAAGTTGTGAATTGTTGGTAATTACATGATGTAATTACCAGCTGATTACTTTTTAATTTTATTTTTTTACTTCTATTATTTTAAGTTGTTTTTTTATTTTTATTATTCTAAAAATTTCTAAAAGTTTATTTTTTATTTTATATTATAATATTTTATTTTCTTCTCGTTATCAACCTTACTTTATGTGATTCTATGCAATTTCTTTATGCCATGCTTATTTTCTCATTAACATAATTCTATTAGTATTCTAATTTTTAAATTAAAATAAAATTTATTGTTAAGTAAGGTTATAGACTTACCTTTTCTTTTCTTTTTTTTTAAAAAAAATAATAAATCATATTTATGTACGCTATGTTGAAATTTGCGATAAGAGTATTATGTTAAATTTTTTGTTTTGAATTTATAACTTATGTTATATTTTCAGTTTCATTTGTTTTAGTAATATTGAATTCACATTGCAAGTCATTTTTTAATTAGACATGATAGATTATCTTTTTGTCAAACATTTTAATAATTTATGACATTTTATTTATATATTAATCTTTTTATCAAACATGCATTTTACAATGTTAGTAGAAACTTCGTACTTTTAGTTTTTATGATCAATTCAATTGAAATATATTAATTTGAAAAAGTATAAATCAATTATTTTTTCATAATATTAGTTAAGAACATATGTTTATTTATTAATATACTTCCAAAAAGTAATATATATCTTAAATATTTTATTTAATATCATTTATATAGTTTCTTGTTTTTTTAGTATAAATTTTAAATAATTAATTTTTATTTCTAAAATTTAATATAATATTATGATTGTTATTGTGCATCCAAACAGAACATGTGTAATTACATTGTGGCATCCAAACAGGAGTAATTACATTATGGAAACCAAACAGGTCAGTGTAATTACTAGATTGTGTAATTACTAGGCTGGTAATTACTACCCTAGTAATTACACCAATTCCAATTACCAGGTGGCTTTTCAAACAGACCCTTAATAAACTTGGTAATGGACTTGTTACATTATGAAAAAAAGACATAGTGTAAAGCATATTTTAAGGAGCATGCTAAGTGTGATATTGATGAGAATAATATGTGTGAGACATTTAATTATTGGATATTAGCTGCTAGACATAAATCAATTATCACCATGTTAGAGGAGATTAGACATAAGATAATGGATAGAAATGTTGAGATGAGAAAATTTGTTGACACTTGGATATCAGACATTTCTCCTAGGGCAAGTTTAGTACTTGAAGAAAACAAAGATTCTGCTAGAGATTGTCAAGTTAGGTTCAATGGCCAATTTGGATATGAAATTTTAGATGGTCATTATAGGCATAATATTGATATCAGAACGAAGACATGTACTTGTAGAACCTGGCATTTGAGAGGCATACCAAGTCAACATGTTGTTTTGGCATATCAGCATGCAGGCCAAGACCCTGAAGATCATGTTGTACATTGGTATAGAAAAGATACTTTCATAAAGGCTTATAATTACTTTATCCCGCCAATACCTAACATGAAAATGTGGCCTCACACTAGTGATATAGTGATTAAGCCTCCTGAACCAAAACAAATGTCTGGCAGACCACCAAAATACAGAAGAAAGTCAAAGGATGAGCCAAGAAAGAAGTATGGAAAGTTGTCCATGAAAGGTGTAAAAATGACTTGCTCCAAGTGTCATCAACAAGGCCACAATAATAAAGCCTTCAAATATGTGGTAATACTCAAGCCAACCTTTTATTACTTCAATTAAATAGATAAAAGGCAATACAATTTTTCTTATTTACACTATTAAATCTTCTGAAATGGGTCAGCCTAGAAGCTCAACCCAACCTAGACCTGGAAGCTCAACCCAATCTAGACCTGGAAGGTTAATCCAACCTGCAAGCTCAAGCCAACCTGCTAGCTCAAGCTAGCCTTAAAGCTCAAGGCAACCCATAGGTTCTAGCGAGCCACCAAGCTCAAGCGAACCAGTAGGTTCTAACTAGCCACCAAGCTTAAGCCATCCACCAAGATCAAGCCAGCCACCAACTCAAGGCAACCAACAAGCTTTAGCCAACCACCAAGCTCAGGCCAACCTGTGGGTTCTAGCCAGCCACCAACTTGGAGACTATCACAACATGTCAACTCAGACCAACAATCAACTTATATCTGTGATGATACTTCAATTGTTAGAAGAGTTCAACAAGATGGAAGAGACATGGGAAGAGGCAGGGGAAGAGGAAGAGGAAAAGGCAGGGGGAGAGAAGGTGATGATACTTCAACTGTTACAAGAGGTCAACAAGCAGGAAGAGAAGTGACATTTACACTGATGATATAAGTGGCAAACAAACATTTAATGTAAGCGTCTAACCAACTTCAATTATTTATGATCTACTTTGATAATACTTATTTTAGTTCCTTGTATATAGCCTGGTACAGCAAGTGAAAGAGTTGTTACTCCAGATGTTTTCAAGTGTGCAACTCCAATAAACATTGATATCGGTCGGGTGTTTTTGATGTACACTTAGGGGTTCTTTTATTTTGAATATGTAATGCAAGCAGAAAATAATATTGAGACTGCTTTAATATGTTTTGTGGTGTTTTTGATGTACACTATAACAAGTGGTTTAAATGTTGATTTTCTTACAAGGAAATGTCAAAAAAAAATTGTCGATGATTCATGCTTGTTTAGAGTTTAATGTTGTTGTGTTGTTGACTTAGTATTATAATATTGGTAAATGGTTATTGGTGTTTGGAGGTGAATAATAGGAATAGAAATAAGGCAATACAATAGAGGTGAATAAACAAGAAAAATATGATAGATTCATGAACAACTTATCTTCATTACTTCATCCAAAATCAGTACAACAGAAACACAAGACTACTAATACAATCACTCCTAAGACTACTAACATAAATATTTCCATATAGCCAAAGTCACGGGTGCAATAACGCATATGATCCTGATTTTTTTTGCCTGCTTCCTCTCTTGTTCATAGAATTTGATTCTTTTCAATAGACCCCATATGATCTTTTTTGCTTGAGGCGGTATTTCATCATCGTACCATCGAAAATAATCACATCCACCTCTTCTCTACACAAATTATCAAAATAATTAAAATATAATTAGCGATTTGTTTAACCAGATTAGAATAATGATAAAAATCTTACCTTTATGTTTTGTAGCAAAAAAATTGAAGTCCTGTATTGAGTTGTGTCCATGAGGTTTTCAATCCAGCATTGACCCCACATCGACAGAACACATTTGCATCTGAAGAAGTTGAAATCGTCAAATTGGACATTTTCTTCGTTGTGAAGAAGACGAATGAAGAAATTTTTTTGATCTCGGTGTGAAGAAGACGAATGGTGAGATATGGAGAAGAAAGAGAGGGAGATGAGAGAAAAAAGGGGAAGAATCTAGGGTAAAATAAATAAAAGGGGAAGAATATTACCATTAAGTGTGTTAAACTGTGTCAATCAAACACATCAGCTTTTATTTCTCATTTCACGCACTCAAAAGGAGTGCTTCACACGATAAGTGCAAAGTCAGCCAGGTGTGTCTGATAAGCACACTTTTTAAGTGGTTTAAGTGTTCAATAGGAAGGCATCCTTGATAAGGAGTCTATACGGAAAATCCTTACAAGTTCAAGGGGCCGCTTACGTGTTCTGCCTATTAAAAATTAATAAAAATATTAAAATGGTAGAGAGAAAATCTCCCCGTAAATAAAAGTCTCTAAGCGACTACATAGTGGATGTTCTTGTTTTTTTTATATGAGAAGAGGGGTCTTCAATTTATAGAGTTCCAAGTTTCTCCTTTAAGGAAGGAATAAACTAAATATGGAAGAAACATATATTTTCATTTCATGAAAAGTAAAAACATTTATGGTAATGTTTTGTCTTTTCCTTTCATGAAAAGTAAAAACATTTATGGTAATGTTTTGTCTTTTCTTTTAGGAAAAATAAACTTCAAATAAGGTAAGAAAATCAGGGCAAAACCCTAACAGCAGGGAGGAAATCCCATCAGCCAAAGTTGATGGAAAGAATGTAGGCCTATATAACCACCAACAAACAAATCACTTTAGGCGAACAGTTAATATATTTAAAAAGATAGCCTAAATTCCAGTTAATATATTTAAAAAGATAGCCTAAATTCCTCTTAGTAAACACAGGATTGCCACAATCTTCTCTATCATACAAGGTTATATAAGTGAAGTTCTCCAAAAAAATAGAGATGAAATAACAAACTCAGAGGCTGCTACATATTTGACTTCCGTGGTAGAATCAGCAATACAGGTTTGCTTGATACTTCTCCAAACAATGGCTCCACCTCCCAAAGTAAACACAATTCCTGAGGTCGACTTTCTAGAGTCCATATTAGACTGGAAATCTGAGTCAGTGTACCATGTACCCACTAACTCATCTAACTGATGGACTAGCACGTAATCCCTAGTCCTTTTCAGGTGCTTAACTGTTGTCCAGTGTTCTTGACCAAGATTAGACTGATATCTGCTAACCATGTCTACGGCAAAATAGATATCAGGTTTAGTGCACAACATCGCATACATGAGGCTTCCTACAGCTGACGCATAAGGAGCTATCTTCATGCTTTCTATTTCCTCACCTATCTTAGGACATTTATCCTTAGATAGAGAAACTCCATGTCTAAGAGGAAGAAACCCTTTCTTGGAATCATGCATGCTAAACCTAGTAAGAATTGTATCAACATAAAGAGCTTGAGATAAACTTAGCATCCTTTTCTTGCGATCACGTAGAAACTTGATCCCAAGGATGTGAGCAGCTTCTCCCAAATCCTTCATATCAAAATTAGTGGACAACCATTCTTTAATTGAATTCATCAAGCTCACATTATTTCCTATGAGCAAGATATCATCTACATATAATATCAAAAACACCACTTTATCCCCCATTCCGCTTTTTGTACACACAGGACTCATCAAGACATTGCTTAAAACCAAAAGTCTTGACAGCATTGTCAAATCAAGTATTCCATGCCCTAAAAGCTTGCTTTAATCCATAAATATATCTTTTAAGCTTGCACAACATGTTTTCTTTGCCTTTTTCTATGGAACCGTCTGGTTATCGCATAAATATGCTTTCATCAAGACTTCCGTTAAGGAAAGTTGTCTTGATGTCCATTTATAAATTTCATAATCATAATGAGTATCAATGGATAAGATAATTCTAATAGACTTAAGAATGACTACTGGCGAAAAAGTTTCCTCATAATCGATCCCATCTTTCTAAGTAATCCCTTTTGCAACAAGTCTAGCTTTGTAAGTTTGCACTTTTTTATCTACTCCTCTCTTTTTCTTATAGATCCACTTGCATCCAATGAGTTTGACTCCTTCTACAGGTGGTTCTACAAGATCCCAGACGTTATTGGAGTACATGGACTCCATTTTTGATTTCATAGCAACTATCCATTTTTCTGCATCTTTATCTTGTAGTGCTATGTCGTAATTCACAAGTTCGATATTCGACTCTTCAGGGACTCTATCAAAAGACTCTCTCAAGATTCCATACCGAGGTGATTTTCTTATCATTCTCCCACTACAACCAGAAACTATAAATGTTGGGGCAGGTTCAAAGAGATTTGCATTATTATGATCTTGTGGTGGAACCACATCATTTGTAGGATCATGAGTGTCCATGTTATCTTCAGCACCTTGCGGTGCAGAGATATCAACAACTTCTTCCTTTAATACAATCTACTCACTATTACTCCCACTACCTTGATGCAATGAATTTTCAAGAACTTGTACTTGTGGAATTATATGGTTATTAACATCTCTCCCACTAAGATAATGCAATGGTATGTTAACTCTAACATATGGGGTTTGAATTTGGTTTCCATTATTTTCAGTAGACTGATTTGTTATCACTTTGCTTAATTCCTGCAAAAACTAGTTTACTTCTACGAATATGATTTGTTAAATCTTTTTTCAGAAACTTGGCATTGATAGTCACAATGACCTTCTTTTCTTTAGGATTATAAAGCATATCACCTTTCGTTTCTTTAGAGTATCCAATAAAAACACATACTTCTATTTTAGGTTCCAATTTTTCTGCCTTCCCTTTAAGCACATGTACTGAATATCCCCAAACTCGAACATGTTTCAAACTAGGTTTATGCCCAGTCCACAGTTCAATGGGTGTCAAAGGAACTAAGTTTAGAATGTAATTTGTAGCTTTTAATGCATATCCCTAAAATGAATAAGGCAAATCAGAGTAACTCATCATTGATCTAACCATTTCTAAAAGAGTTTTGTTTCTTCTTTCTGCTACACCATTTTTTTGTGGTGTTCTAGGTGCAGACATTTGAGATGTAATTCCGTATTCTGATAAGTAACTAATGAACTCATTAGATAGGTATTCGCCACCACGATCAGATCGCAATGACTTGATATATTTTCCATGTTGTTTCTCCGTTTCAACCTTAAGCTCTTTGAATTTCTCAAAGCATTCAGACTTACGGTGCAGCAAATAAATATATCCATATTTTGAGTAGTCATCAATGAAAGTCACGAAGTACTCATACCCAAATCTCGCTTGAATGTTCATTGGGCCACACAAATCAAAATGAATTAGCTCTAGTTTATCATTGACTCTGTTTCCTTTTGAGGGGAAATGTCTCTTAGTCATTTTTTCTTCTAAACAAGATTCACATGATGGTAGTGCCTCCACTTTTAATGAACCTAAAGGTCCATCTCGAACCAACCTTGAAATCCTATCTAGATTTATATGACATAGATGCAAGTGCCATAGATAAGTCTCATTAAAATCAGAAGAACGTTTTCTTTTACTTGAAAGGTTAACATTATTCAGTTCTACGGTTTGTTGTAGTTCTAAAGAGACATTAATAATAAAAAGATCATCAATCAACGTACCAGCAGAGACAAAATGTTTATTATAG